TCTAGATGTATACTGAATCAACACTGCGCAGCTCATGACTATATAGTCACCAGGCGGATGATGGTAATAGTTTACACCAGTGCTCGTCAGAATGACCAACTTTGGGAAATATTATATAGAAGAAAACTGCTTCTTTCTTCCCGAATATTAAAAAGTTTGGAGGAATTGTAACTTTACACTTTTGTTTTTGTGATTTGCACAAGCTGAAGATGAACTTAGTCATGCTACTCTTGATGCTGCTGTTACCAGCCGACCACAGACCAACTGTTTTCATAACTAAGATAAACCAACCAATCAAACCTTTCCCAAACTCTAACATATTTATCCTATGATGGAACTGCATTATTTTTGGTTAGGTTATATAGTTTTGTTTGTTTGAGTAGGTTAGGTTATATAGGTTTGTTAGTAAGTTATTTTGTTAAGTTAATATGGAATGGTTTCTGAAGGTGTTTGGTTGTTAACCTTAGGAGTGCTCACTGGCAAGTATCAACAGTTTAACCATAAATATAACATCTGCGCTTGAACAAAATTAAAATAACAACAAAACAAAAAGATAGAAAGTTTCAATTCCTCCAATAATTTTTGGGATATACGAGTGGTAGAAACAAGTTTTCTTTTTATGTAATATTTTCCTACAACTGCTCATTCTACCGAGCGCTGACATAAAGTATTACCCATATCTTAAAAACACCTCATACCCAGACGTTGGTGAAGGTGAGCGACGTCTGACAGTGATCTTGGTGGGCCGACACACGAGGTGGAGTTAGGGATCATGTTTTCTAGCCAGTGCCAGTATAGTCCTGCCTCAGTCACCACCTTGATCCTGCTATAAAACTTCATAAATTATCACATTTAAGGTTGTTTTGTTTCTAAGATTATTGAAAAAGTTAATACCTATAGGACAGTGAAGAATACCTTTTACTTAAGGCGGGAACCAGAGGTTTGTTCTTCTGGCGATCTAGCAAACATGAAGAAGAAAACATCTCCTTTGATGAGTAAAAGTCACACGCACCTGTCAGATACAACCACCAGTGTTATGACTTATTTTGATACTATTACAAGGTTGATAGTTTAGCTTCTCTTTCATTTAAGTAAAAAAAAAGTGCCATAGAGATACAACTTGTAAGAAGATGAAGTGGAATGGTTGGGATATTTCACAGTGGATGTGTCAGCCCGGGGCAATCAAGGATGAGGTAAAGAGCCTTTGCTGCAACAAAGGTGACAGTGATAGAGTTGTACATGGAAATTCTTGAGTCAGAATTAACAAGAGATGACTCTAGACGTAAGACAGAAGAAGAAATCGGAATCAACAAAATATTCTCGATAACAACAAGTGAGATAAACAGGAAGTTTGAAAAACCCGGACATATTTCCCACATATAAGGGCTTGGAGAACTGTATATAGTGGAGTTAAAGATGACCTGTATTGGAGAGTCTTGAGCCATGAGGACCTTGCCACTGAGGTCTTCCCAGGAAGGCGTGTGTGCCCAGCCTCACCAACTCATCCGCATGTAAGTATACTCGGTGCTCTTCACGTACATGATGCGACCTTCCTTCTCCGAGTCCATCACCTCCCGGAAGATGCCCGACTCTACTGACTTAGAAAGACATTCGAAATTAGTGAAGTTGAATGTACAAGAAATTTCAAGTACAAGTTTTTATTTAAAGCTTGTTAAAGGTTAAGCAATAAAACAGTTATGCTTCACTTTACTTACCGTTTTGTGAGGCGATATCGAAGATCATTACTTAAATAATAAAATTCCCAATTGTGTAGCCTCATCCGAGAGCTCTTTGCACTTGTTGGGTATTGTTTAATTATGAAAATATATTTTTCGCAGACATAAGTTATTGAGCAGAATACCTCACCAGAAATGATTTTCAGTAAAGATTAAACATTTTACTCACAGAAGATACTGCACATACATGGTGTTTGCCTCCCAGACCATGGTGGTGGCCGGGGTAGTCCAACAGGTCCCTCAGGTACTCATAGGGTTGAGGATGTATCTCACCGCCAGGATGGACATGAGGTGCTAGTGTAGCTTCTTGTCATACCAACACCATCACCATCCCCCCCCTAGCACCAGCCTCTCCCACCACTGTACACCAAGCACGGATGTGTCTGAGAAACACCAGATTCCCATCGTGATTTCCTGAACGACAGTGATAAAGAATGGACTTGGAAAACCTCTTGGATATCAGCAAGTGAGATTAATAATTTGAATCCATCGAAGTGACTTACCCTGTTGAAGCAACACTCGAGAATAGGAAGAGGCTGTTTCTGTCATCCAGGTATCCCGCTGAGCTGTCTTGGGTATGAAACACAGGTACAACAGAACGGAATAGTGAATAACAGCAGCAGTGTCCCCAGAATGCCTGTCCACACTTGCAGGGTGAAGGGCAGAAGAAGCCCATGGATCCACCTCTGGTAAGCCTCGACCTGCCATGATCCTGCCGTAGTCAGCCAAGATACGGGCGTCTGCGTGAGGGCCCAGGCCCCACGTCACGCCTCCTGCGTGTGTGTGAACAGGATTGTTTCTTGTGACATGGCAAGACTCAAATGTTTATTACTGTGTTTTCCATCACGCTCATACCTGTCTCACTCCCACCACACCTACCTGCCTACCCACCATGCCCACCATGCAGTCCATGAACCATCTGGCAGCTTGACGCCCCAGGAGCCGTCAGGAGGTCGGAGGAAGGTGTACCTGGAGGAGAAATTGTGAAAGACTGTTATACGGTTTAGCCTTTCAATTAGATTTCATTCTTTGGCGATTTATTGTCGAATTACATTTGTTGAGGCCAATTACTTAAACCTGTAAGGAAAACTAATGTGTGTGTTAGTGGGAGTGATATCTTATATACTATAGTACTAGCCGTGTGTCTGTCTGTTTGTGTGTGTGTCTGTTCCGGGCAGCTGAAATGGCACAATCGTTTTCCATCAAACTTGGTGGAAAAATCGCAAACATATTCGTAGAGAAGAACAAACCTGGTCCCATGTCGATGGTTTCTTTAGGAAGGCATTAATTACTAATTTTATTTACGATGGAAAACGATGCAAGTCACAAAAACCATGCAAGTCTACGGATTTGGCTCACCCTCATTCGCTGTACGCTGTCACGAGCGTTCAAACTCTCACAAGGGCACGAACGTTGCCTCGATCACTTGTTGTGACTATACATGAAAGTTGAGTGTGTGGGTGAGAGAGATGAACTCACGTAAAGTTGAGTGTGTGGGTGAGAGAGATGAACTCACGTAAAGTTGAGTGTGTGGGTGAGAGAGATGAACTCACGTAAGTTGAGTGTGTGGGTGAGAGAGATGAACTCACGTAAAGTTGAGTGTGTGGGTGAGAGATGAACACATAAATTTGAGTGTGTGGGTGAGAGAGATGAATCGTAAAGTTGAGTATGTGGTGAGAGAGATGAACTCACGTAAAGTTGAGTGTGTGGGTGAGAGATGAACTCACGTAAAGTTGAGTGTGTGGGTGAGAGATGAACTCACGTAAATTTGAGTGTGGGTGAGAGAGACTCACGTAAGTTGAGTATGGTGAGAGAGATGAACTCACGTAAAGTTGAGTGTGTGGGTGAGAGAGATGACTCACGTAAAGTTGGTGTGGGTGAGATACTCTAAGTTAGTGTGTGGGAGAGATGAACTCACGTAAAGTTGATATGTGGGTGAGAAGATGAACTCACGTAAGCTCACGTAAAGTTGAGTGTGTTGGCCAGGAGGTGGAGGAGCTCGGCCATGGGTCACGAAGGAGAGCGACCGTCCAGGCGCCTCAGTCGTCTTGACCAACACGTGAGGCTGAAACTCCTCCGCCGCCACCACCAACTGCGGCCGATGGACGAACCTGCCACGACAACACACCTCTCACACTACCTGGTTCATACCTGTATAATTAACCTGCCACCACAAAACCCTCTCGTCTACCGTAATGAAGTTATCATTCAAACTTTGATTATTTTTCCATATGCAATACTCTTACACCAATGTCTGTCTGTCCTGTGTCTGTCTCACATTAAGTGAAAAACTTTACCACCAATCTGATAAATCTTCAAAATTTGCCATTTGTTTCTGGGATGTGAACCTTTGTCTCGCTAATTTACAATTCCACGGAGTCAAGATAACGAGTGTTGAGTGTAGGTGTCGACGCGTGATGACTTACCTGTAGAACTTGTCGGGAAGAGCAGGAGGTGTGTAGTGAGGACGAGGCCGTGCAGAGGGACCACGTCGCTATCTCTAACACCTGGGCGTATAGAACTGTGGGAGGTGCACATACCGCTACACCTGTCAACACAACACTACTGTACTGTATGCAGTAAGTAGAAGTACATGTTATAATCTAAAGTTGATTTTTGTGATCAAATTATCTTGTGTCAACTTATGTAATAGTAGTATCTTACATGGTACCTGAGAGGAGGGTGACTGAGGGTTGGTGAGACACGGGACAAACTAGCTATATTTGATACCTTTTTAATTAAATGACTCGTACCTCAAACTTAATAGAGTTGTGACTTTTGCGATGATAGATTACTCACCCCGAACATGGCCAGTCATAATTAGACTCTTTATGACGAGCCATATACAGTACAGTAACAGTTGAGAATAAGCTAAGGAAAGAAGCGTCCAGGGGAGCAGCATGGCGGCTGGTCATTACCTGGGGTAACCGGAGGTGTCGTCCAGGAGGAGCAACATGGCGTTCATCATGGAGAAGGAGGTGTGGAGGTGGCGGAGGTGAGAGAGAGGCCGGCGGGTGAGGGCCAGGAGCCTGTTGGTCCACACCAGGAGGCGGCCCTTGAAGATCCACTCAGCCGAGGCGGCGAGGAAGGCTGAGTCGTCGCTCACCACCACCACCGTCACGCACCACGACACCTGTCTCACCTGTTGATGTGTACCTGTTGTTAGTTATGTGTCCTGCCTCACTGTCCTGCCTGCCTCACTGTCCTGCCTGCCTCACTGTCCTGCCTCACTGTCCTGCCTCACTAGCACTGTGAGTGACCTACCCGTCGAGCCTGGGCCACCAGCCGGGACAGCAGCGCCTCCGTCATGTTTGGACTTTTGCCTTCTGCTGCCACCTGGAACACCGTCACCCCCCAGGGGGCTCCCAGCCCTCCCAGCTCCTGAAGTGACAAAATAACACCAACTGAAGCTCAGTGTTATAGTGAAGTAGTGTTACCTGTGACCAGGTAATATAAGAACACAGGTGAAGGTGCAGTAGTGTTACCTGTGGCCAGGTAATATAAGAACACAGGTGAAGGTGCAGTAGTGTTACCTGTGGCCAGGTAATATAAGAACACAGGTGAAGGTGCAGTAGTGTTACCTGTGGCCAGGTAATATAAGAACACAGGTGAAGGTGCAGTAGTGTTACCTGTGGCCAGGTATTATAAGAACACAGGTGAAGGTGCAGTAATGTTGACTCACCGTGAACACAGTGGTGGAGGAGGTGGTGCCGTCTGTGAGGAGGATGACGGAGCAGCGAGGCCGCCACACTGTGGCCGCCACAGCCGCCACAGCCGCCCCCGCCACGCTCAGCGTCTCTCCCGCACCTGAGGAACACAACAGTGTTGATGATGATGACATGAGAAAGATGTTTACACTATTATGGACAAGACCAACCAACACGTAGAGACAACTGTTGTCAACTACAGACCTTTATTAACTTATAAAATATTAATTAACTTCATCAATCAGTCAGAGGTTATAACTTACCCTGAGGGCGAGGCAGCTGGGCGACAGTCAGGCAGACAGTCAGGACCAACAGCAGTGAGGCCGCAGCCGCCGTCATCACCCCGGCTGTCGGGACACATCACAACAACAAATAGAAAAATCTTAAAATATGAACAATATAATTTTTACAAAGAAATTGACAACTGTTTCTTAGTTAACAAATTCATTAACAAATCGCAATGTTTTTATCCGGTGAAGAGACCAGAAAGCTGTAGTGTACTCTTATTGGTCAGCTGAAAAACATTACTACGATATTTTCCTGGATCTTAACTTTTAGTCTTGGAAATATTGGAATCTGAGTGACGTAATTAAGAATCATTTATATATATTTGTTCATATATCTGGCTATCGTTAGTACCTTTATCTTGATGTTATCTGTTGGTCAGGGTCCTGTTATCTTTGTATAGTTTGTGTGTAAATTCAGGATAGAAGTGTGTGTTGAGTCAGGGACGAGGGAGGCGTATTTAAGTTCAGTTTAATCCTATCTTAATCTCTCTTCTTCACCTTTACTCCGCCATTCTCTCTTATCATATCCTCCTATTCTTGAGGTTTGTATTTATCTTCTTCCATTAAACGTAAAGAAGTGAGCGAAGATGAAAGAGAAGAGAGATATATAGAGGTAAAAGATGTTCTGTAGTTCGCCGCGTGTTGACATAATTCAGCGTTTGGAAATGAAGGCTATTTCACCATATATATATATATATATATATATATATATATATATATATATATATATATATATATATATATATATATATATATATAATATATAATATATATATATATATATATATATATATATATATATATATATATATATATATATATTTATTTATTTATTTATTTATTTATTAAGGTGTAAATATATATTTTTTCGGGGTGCAGGAGTAATGAAATTATGTTGGGAAAAGTAAAAGGTTTTAATTTAAGTTGTAGCATCTTAACACCTGGCAGTGTACAGAGAATTCCAAACTTACAATATTTGTGACTTTAATAATAACATTCATAATAAAACCAACAAATATGGAGTCACAGTAAGAAATATTACGTCGTGCCAGTGTCGGTCTCCAGAGGCCAACAGACAACTCGGGTATTATCAGTTCCCACAAGTGTAAACGGAGTTAGTGAATCCTCTGTCCAGGAAGAGTTCATGTAGAAGGCGCGTTTATGTTGATTTTCACTGAACACTTAGAACTATGGCCGGTGTGAAAGGCCCCAACTGTGTGGCCGAGATCTTGTGTCGTAAACAATGTATCAAGGGTGAGGTTACTGTGTGGGTCCGTCAGCATCAGGCTCCATGATCTATTATTTCCTTGTTGTTTCTGGGTTCGTATCCCCTGAGAGCTGTGTTGATACTGGAACAGTTTAAAGTAAACTTGAGGTCATGTTCACACAACATGGGTTTAAATATTGCATGGAGGGAGGTCTGTGGAGGAGCTCTCTGTCCTGAACGCAGTGAGGACCCGTGTCTGAGAGGCAGCAGGGCTGGAGAGGCCGAGGAGGACCTTGTGCCGCTGACAAAAGTTGAAACTTGGTGAACCATAAGGTTGGCGCGTCCTTCAGCAATGGCCGGGGGATGGTGCGAGGTCTGCCACTGCGGGGTCTAGTGTTGACGTTGCCCTCTCGCTGCCACCTTCTGATCCACCTGTACACGGTCGTCACGCTTTTGTCAGTTGTGAGAGCAATGTCACGGACAGACATGCCGTCAACCCACATCAACACAAACTTCGCGCGGTCGTCTGCGGTCGTCGGTCTGAACACTCGACGCCGCACCATAATAGTCTGAGAAAATAAGATTATTTTTGGGGGGTGGGTGAGGCATCTCTGGACATCACCTTGATATGTGTAAACTGTATATCTGAATCCCTGAACTCCTACTGATGTTTCTTTAGTGCACAACGAAAGTGTACGCGAGGCTCGACCCCTGGAGGAGCTGTGACACTGTGTGTGTGTTTATTAATGGAAGGAGTGAACAGACCCGAACACAGACCTGGGTAGTGGCGGCGGACATAACCTCACCTCCTCACACACACACCTCACCCCTCACACCACAGCCTCACCCCTCACACACAACCTCACCCCCTCACAGCACAACCTCACCCCCTCTCACCACATCCTCACCCCTCACAACTCGGCAGTAAGCTGAGGTACAACAAAAGGAGTCAATGTTGTGTCTTACAGCAGTAGTGTGGGAAGCCTGGCAGCTTGTGTCCGGAGAGGTGTTCACGGTACCAACAGCTACGGCTCACTGTACCCTTAACCTCCCTTCCAAACTATTTTATTAATCTTCAAAACAAGTGGTGGAGTAAAACTATCAGTCATTGGTTGGCTATATGAGATAAGAACTCTGATTGGCCTACTTTAACTGGGGAAAATAAATGGCGGGTGACCTAGCGGAGATGCAACACTGACTGTGATTGGCAGAGTAGATGCGCGCGCTTTTCTTATCAACTTTGCGTAGGAGGATGACACTCAACAGAGGGATGGTAAAGGTGATTTGATTAATGCATTTACACCTGTACATCACACTAGACTAAGACGACAAGCTGAAGAGTTAGTGATCAAGACTTGGGAAATACATTGTATCTCTGGCTGCCACGTATCATCAACTAAAAACTATAATAATGGTGGGAACAACAGGGAGGAACGGAGAAAAAAATGTGATAAAGTTGAAGTAGTTAAATAAGAGGAAGTTGGTTTATAAGAGGCATTAAACTTGGGAGAAAAGAAAGACTGTGGATGTTTGTCAGTAATAAACTGGAGAGGGAAGGAGGGAGGATGAATTGGGGAGGGAGGGAAGGAGAACTGGGGAAGGAGGGAAAGAGGGAGGAAGAACTGGAGACGGAGGGAGGGAGGAAGAACCGGGGAAAGAGGAAGGGAGGGAGGAAGGGAAATTTTTACCCGAGAAATGAAACGCGAACATTTACATTGACAAATTTTGTGAGAGAAGCCTTCCAGTTTTCTTCTATACTTACAAATATTATTGCTAATTTGTTTGTTGGATATAATTAAAATAAAATAAAAAATCAGTAAATTAATCTTACTTAGAGAATGCAAACCTCTCTTGGGTATTACTCTTTTAAAATTTACCTTTTTCAAGATATTCTTGAGTAAAACCAAACTCCTTTAATTAATTTATCTTTTAGGGTATTAAGGGACGATAAATAAAGACGGAGACCACGAGGAAAGGTTATAGGGGCTAAGGGGTTGTGTGACGCCAAGTTCCCAGCGAGACGGATGGTGTGTTGTTGACCAAGCGCCGCCGAAGAGACTACCTGTAGGTTTCTCAAAAGATTAACTAATTACATCACAACTCCCAGACGACGTTGAGATTTCTTTCTGGTACACATTGTCGACTGTGAGTACATTTAACAGTGTAGTATAGATCCTGACATTGTGTATATATAAAGGGATGTGGTAAAGATATGGTAGAATGAGAAGAATTAACAAATGTCGTGTACAAAACTTCGATCGAGATTTCCAGACCATTATACCTTGATGCAGGGGCGGATCCAAGGAGGGTCCAAGAAGTTGCGAGTGGAGTAACATGGAGAACGCAGCGAGCTTACCCAGTTGGGAGGTTTGGTGAGGGCGCTGTAAGCCTCCCAGAATTTATATTTTATATTTTTTTTTAAATCTGACCAATATCATGGGCATTTTGAGTCCATTTTGAAGCCATCTGCACGTGATATTAGGAGATATTCTGAGGTCAACAGTAATTACTTTTTACGATACAAAAACGCTTGAGTACAATACTGATTAAAGAAAGTGTATTGGAATTTTCTGGTGAAAAGGGGGAATCCGGGTAAAATAATCAAGTCTCTGTAAAGGTTCAGAATGGGAAGACTGTTGATGGTCTAGCCTCTGGGATAATTCACTTAACTCGTCCGTCTGTCTCACACACCGGATTACTCCTCCCGTGAGGCAAAGATAATATATACTCTTGGTTCATATTACAAGCCTTAACAATTTTAGGCTCTGTTGGTCGGTAAACATTTCATTTTCACCGAGACGAGTTGGGATGTAAAAGGCGAAAGATTTACGCGTTTTAAAAGGAAATCAGAGCTATTGTGTAGATATATAGGAAGGGGTTCTCCTACACTCGGTGCATAATGAATCGGTAATAAGAACATAAGAACATAAGAAAATAAGGAGTCTGCAATAGGCCGGTTGGCCTGTGCATGGCAGCTCCTGGCGAGAGTTACTACCACTCTCTATCATCCATGAATCTATCTAGCCTCCCTTTGAAACTTTCCAGCGTTCCAGCACTTACTACAAAGTTGCTAAGCTTGTTCCACTCGTCCACCACCCTATTTGTAAGCCAGTTTCTTCCTATCTCCCTCCTAAACCTAAACTTATCCAACTTGAATCCGTTGTTCCGAGTCCTATCCTGCTCGGATATTATAAGAGCTTTATCTATATCACCTTTATTGATTCCTTTCACCCACTTGAATACTTCTATCATATCTCCCCGCACTCTTCGTCTCTCTAGGGAATGCAAGTTTAGTTTCTTTAACCTATCCTGATATGGAAGGTTTCTAAGTCCCGGAATCATTTTCGTCATTCTTCGCTGCACCGACTCTAGTGATATCCATTCTATAATAAGGGCACCAGAACTGAACCGCATAATCGAGGTGCGGCCTGACTAGCGCAAGATATAGCTGCAATAAGACCTCTGCACTCTTATTACTTACACTTCTAGATATAAAACCCAATACTCTGTTTGCCTTATTTCGAACATTAACGCACTGTTTTCTAGGCCGTAGGTCTGGGCTTACAAGTACCCCTAGGTCTCTTTCACAAGTCGACTTCTCTAGGTTGATGTTGTTAAGGCTGTATACATTGACAGTATTTGTTCTTCCAATATTAAGTACGCTGCACTTGCTGGTGTTGAATTTCATTTGCCATTTGTCAGACCACCCCTGCAGTTTATTTAGATCCTCCTGTAATGCATTTGCATCCTGCCCTGAATTAATCTGCCGCCCTATTTTGGTGTCATCCGCAAACTTGCTTATGTCACTGCTGATCCCAGTATCTAGATCGTTTATATAGATTATGAACAAGAGTGGGCCTAGTACTGACCCCTGGGGAACCCCACTGGTTACACGACCCCACTCAGATTTAACACCATGATGATATAAACAATTAAATTAATATATATAACTAATACCTACTAGATAATTTGAATGAGTTGTATATGTTAATTTAATTGTCGTTGTTTATATTAACTGTTTGGTTTCTACAGATGCTAGCTGATAAAGGACTATTTCATTCGTACATGTCAGGTGCTCACATTGAAACAATTTTGCTTTAACCTCCGTACAAGAGACAAGGAATATAGATGGTTGCAAAATTAGACAAGTTTAAAAGTTTTGGACCCACTTTTATCATAAGCACTATTAATGATACTATATACTGATAACTGTATTATAAAAATGTAAACACAAGTATTGTGTGAAAGAACTTGGAGTCTAACGGATCTGTGGTACCAAAGAAAACGTACTAGCGCCAGGGTAACTTTACCGGAGTAACTCTAATATATTCCAAGAGTACTTCCTGATGCTCCTGGTCTTTAAAGATCATTATGTTTCTGGTATTAAATAAGAGATGAAATAATAATCCTGGTCATAAAAGAAGGATTTATCAAAGTTTATGTTTAGTACTGTAATATATATAAGTGATCATAGTTAAATATTCAGTTTATTTAGATCTTAGAGAGAGTTGTTGCGCCTGTCACTACACACAGATAAAAAAAAATATTTCCAAAATCCTTGATATTCATTCTGATAATTTTAGTTTAATGATACACAAAATCAAGTCTTAACATAATTAATATTAAATCTAAAGTAATGTCAGATTATTAACAAAATAACAAGCTTTCAGGAGTCTTAATAATTTGCATCTACTTAACCAACTGTTCCCGTGGTAGAAGTCTCACAATCTATTAATTACTACAAGATGAACCAATTAAAAACAGGCAGACTAATAACACATACACCATAATATATATATTTTGTCAATACTTATTCCTTCTTTAATTATTTACCTTCCCTTCTTTACAACAGTGGAAGAACATGACAGCAGACACACACACACACACACACACACATTGTCTCCAGGATCTCGCCAGCTGAAGACGAATCTACTTGTGTACTTTGAGACGACCACAACACCTGTGTTTTAGATGACGCTCAGGTTAATTGGAGAAGGGCGTGACTGTACCGTCAGAGTCACCTGAGCTGGCGGGAGGTGTGAAGAATAGCGAAATGAATGACGGGAGGACTTGATACTGTGTGGGGTGTAAAGGGGAAGACTTGTTACTGTGTGGGGTGTAAACGGGAAGACTTGATACTGTGTGGGTAGTAAACGGGAAGACTTGTTACTGTGTGGGGTGTAAACGGGAAGACTTGTTAGTGTGTGGGTTGTAAACGGGAAGACTAGTTACTGTGTGGGTAGTAAACAGGAAGACTTGTTACTGTGTGGGTAGTAAACGGGAAGACTTGTTACTGTGTGGGTAGTAAACGGGAAGACTTGTTACTGTGTGGGTAGTAAACGGGAAGACTTGTTAGTGTGTGGGGTGTAAACGGGGAGACTAGTTACTGTGTGGGTAGTAAACGGGAAGACTTGTTAGTGTGTGGGGTGTAAACGGGAAGACTAGTTACTGTGTGGGTAGTAAACGGGAAGACTTGTTAGTGTGTGGGGTGTAAACAGGAGACTAGTTACTGTGTGGGTAGTAAACAGGAAGACTTGTAGTGTGTGGGGTGTAAACAGGAAGACTAGTTACTGTGGGGTAAACAGGAAGACTTGTTAGTGTGTGGGGTGTAAACAGGAAGACTTGTTACTGTGGGTAGTAAACGGGAAGACTAGTTACTGTGTGGGGTAGTAAACGGGAAGACTTGTTACTGTGTGGGTAGTAAACGGGAAGACTTGTTACTGTGTGGGTAGTAAACGGGAAGACTTGTTAAACGGGAAGACTTGTTACTGTGTGGGTAGTAAACGGGAAGACTAGTTACTGTGTGTGGTGTAAACGGGAAGACTTGTTGGCGTGTTGTTCTTGAAAGCAGCGCGAGGAAAAGGGATAGCGGGCCAGAGACGCTATAGGGAAGTGTGCAGACTAAAAGCGAGGATCAGGTCTTTAAAGATTATCGAACAAGTAAATTGGTCGCTTAATCTCCGTTTTTATTGTCAGTATAAAGCCCTCAGGAGAGCAAGATAAGGACGAGTAAGTTACTGACCAAATA